TCAAAGAGTTTTTGTGTGAGATTGTGTGTTTGTAGGTCAGAATGCACGTTTCTGTGTCAGATTTTGTGTTTCTGAATTGCCAATGATTTTTAAGCATTTAATGCCAATAAAATGAATACAGCAGAAATATAGAAACTTCTCCAATGTCACATTTAAGTGATTGATGAGAGAATGGTGGTTTCCTTCAATTCACTGCACAGACAGCAGGCTCCAAATGAGTAGTGAGATTCTGGAGTACAAAACCTTTATCAGCATTTTTATCATGTTCTCATTTATTTTTACTAATAACGCGCTAGTAGATTAGAAAGTCCAACCAATTAACAACACAATTTGGTTCATAAATCACTCTGTGTGACTGGCTGACAATACCATAAATCACCACCACAACTGATAATGAATAGGAATGCTATTAAGCACATTTATACCACAAATCAGAAGTACTGTACATTAATATGTACCATTGAAATTTGCTACCATACTCAAGTCTTCCTATGACTTAATTCCTGGGACCATATTATTATTACTCTTTTAAGCCAATTAAATGGAGGAGTTGACTGTTAGGAATCGGTTGCTATATTAAATAATAAATAAAAATAATAATAAATATATATTTACCTTTACTATTGCTGTAGGGACTGCGCCTACTTGGCACTTTAGACTCATCTTTTCAGTTTCTGATTGTTAGGGGTTATATGCATGTGTACATAGAAAATTTTGATTTTTGTAAGGCCATTCTCTTGGCTTGTAACTGCCTTGTGAACCAAAATAGTTTGTACTATGTTGGCAAGAACATTTTTTACCAGGATGAATTTTTTTTTTTAAATTTGCGGATAATGGTAAGAGCAATTGAACTTTATTTTAAACAGTAGGCCTACAGTGGGTAATGCACTGTTCCTCAGCTGTTTGAGCACATTTGTAAAGCAATATATTGATCCAAATTTGGCAAGATGCCTAGTACAGTATAGCCAATGGAAAGTAGCAAGGCTGAATACTCAAGACTAATAAAAAGGAGTTCAATGCATTTAGCAAGCAAATTTCTCAAAGCTAATAATTTACATAAATTTTAGGAGATCTTTCATTGGCCCCATTGATACTTTTAATTTAAGCCAGCCAACCAACAATCAGTTTATATCAGTACTTTACAGGATTTTAGGGCAGTCATAAGCTGACCTAAATTTGGCTAAGGCCCTGCAATGTGAAATGGGTTAACTTTGCGAAAGAAAGCCTTAATAAGTCAGATGTATGTCTAGTGTAAGTTCAGTATAGTATGAAAACTCACTAACCAATTGCATCATCCCTTTCTCTATCATCAACAAAAAATAAATTACCAAATTAGGGAAATTTATAAAAACTAATTTAATGATTCATTAAGATTATTAAATGCATTCTTTATTGCTTAATATTTATAAAACTACATAATATGGAGGAAAGCTTCTTTATAAACTAAACGTAAACTCGTTTCTGTGATCGAGTAACAAAGGTAATGGTCCGGGAATGTGCTAGACTAGTGGCGGCGGTGAACCCTCACAGATTCTGCTCTATTTTTCCAATTATGCCCCTATGTGAAGCACACAAAGCTTTCTTTGCATTATGCGCTATGTAAGTGTAATACCTTAATATGTATACACCTATTTCATTCAATAATGTGCAGGCACATATTTCATTCAAAATTTCCTACCAGCATAGAGTATGATAGAAAGAAAACTTGGTAAAGCAACTGACATTCAAAAAGTGTGCCCCATGCAACTTCTGACAATGGGTAAAAAAGGGCACCAGTCAGCCTATTTCGTTCATAATTTTGTATCAGCATGGAGATCAACACTAACTAGACAGCAAAGATACTAGAAGCACAAGATAGAGCACTCGCATAGTAAAAATGAGGCGGAAATCGTGCCCGACGTAGGCGGCGCCCTTCTTTTTAACCATGCAAGTTTTCTATACTTCGTGCCTGACGTACAAGGCGCTCTTCTGTTGCTAAGTATATCCAGACGCACACCACACCCTTATTTTTCCACTAATGGAGGAAAACTTTATCACTACAGTGCGTCCGGCCATACGATTTTGCGCTATATTGTTGTTTTACTGATCCATAGGCTTAATTGTGTGTTTTATTTGGATAATAGCAATGATTTCTACCTCCGCCAAGGAATTATTTATTCACCGTTGTCACTGTCTGGGTACAATGGTACAATTGTGTACAATTTTTTAATTGAGAATTGACAATAAAAATATGCGACGACTTGGTAACGAAAGTTTGGTTGAAGTTTTTTTAAATCCAGCCGTAAGGGGCATCCCATTGTTTGTATTCCTACCATGCATTTCGGTGGAACACTTTTTTTGTGTGGAGAACTCTATCTTGTGTTTCTAGTATCTTTGCTAGACAGTGAATAAAAGGGGTACTGGGAGCACACTGTACACTACCAACTTACAGTGTGCATCGTTACATAGCTAAGAATAGGGCAATACGTTTATTCACGCACAAAACGATTAGAGTGGACTCTCGTAAAGTATAAAAACGTCATCACTAATATGAAGTATTATAAACATCATTCCAACACCGAGCTTAACACAATCACAACAGTAATTACATAATTTAATTGCTCTTCTCATAAGCTCGTAAAAAGTAAACTCTCGATCGTAATTTGGCAAATACAAAATTCTAGAAGGTTTTTGAAACCTTGGAAATATTGCTTTCAATTTCATATTGAGTAATCTGTCAATCAACAGCAAGTAAGCATATATCTTAAAAATGCATTTTATTTATAGAGATTTATTAATGATTTTATTGATAATGAAATGTAACATTTTCAAATACATGTAGCAACACCTTTTATTTAAGGATTCATTATTTTATTGATGATAGTAGAGAATGTTACAAGTGAATAAAAGTCTACTCATTTCAATAGTAACTGTAATCTGGGGAACAGTATGCAAATGAAGTTAACACATTATACAATAGGTTTTGACAAGTATGATTTTACAGCTAAACAAAAGGAGATGAAGGCCACATTACTAAACCTAACTGATAATAATAATATTACTGAACATGACTTGAAAACTGATGAAAATGAAGTTCGAAAATTCTTCTCTCATCAGAAAACCTCAAAGGCAGTGGGCCCAGATCTTATGTTACCCAAAGTTCTTAAAACATGTTTGTATCAGTTCGCTGGCATATTTACTACTATTTTTAATCTACAGTATGTTTTTAAGTAATTCCCTGCCCAAAATTTGGAAAAAATCTTATATAGTCCCTGTTCCCAAAAAGAGTAGTGTACAATGTATGAATGATCTACGACCAATAGCATTGACGTCTGTTGTAATGAAAGTGTGTGAAGGATTGTCATTAGTAAGATAAAACCACTTGTATCTCGATACCTTGATCCATTACAATTTGCCTATAGAAGTTCTAGAAACACGGAAGATGCTATCATACTCAAACTTGAAAAAAATAATGGCCATCTTGAAGGCGTTACAAAATTTAGTCATTCTGTAAAAATTATGTACTATGACTTCGCTATGCGTTCAACACTATACAACCACATTTTTGATGAAAAAATTGATTAATAGGGATCTTCCGTGTTCATTTATTGTTTTTGTATTTAAGTTTCTGGCAAACCGCAGTCAGTTTGTTAGACTAAGTTCAGGAGTTATTTCACATTTAATCTTTACTAATACTGGTGCACCACAGGGTACAATGTTAGCTCCCTTCCTCTTTTCAGTATATACTGCCGATTACAGAACAACTGATCAAACCAATTGTCTAGCAACAAAATTTGCTGATGACACTGCCCTCATTGGGTTGATAAAGGGAGATGATGATTTTGGATATAATGGAAATAAACAGACTTATAATGTAATGTAAATGTCTTAGAATTAAATGTTTCGAAAACAAGAGATGGTTCTGTTTGGGGTATTGCTTATTGGCTTGGGGTGGGAATGTAAATAAACTAGATAGGATAGGATAGGATAGATAGACTGGTGAGGAAGGCAGGGAGGATGGTCGGGTGTGAGCTGCCCGTGGTAGACTCAGTCTACCACGAACGGTTGTGCAAGAAGTTCTGTTCAATATGGGCTGATGTACTGTAAGTCACCCGCTTCATTCAGATATTGCCAACTGTTGCATTGAACGTAGCGGTAGACTGTGGCCACCGCGGGTCTCTACAGAACACCATCGTCTCTCCTTCCTCCCCAGAGAAATTGGGGACTTCGATAGTAAACATCAGAGGTAGAGGGTTTTTAGTGTGGGTGGCCAGTATTGATTAACAACAAGTTAATACAAATATATCATAACTATTATTATTATTATTATTATTATTATCATTATTATTATTATTACTAATAGTTTTATTATTATTATCAGTATTAGTACGTTGTCTTATGCTTTTTCACATTGTTGTATCCAGCCATGAAATTTCCCCGTAGTGGGATGAGTAAACTATCCTTGTAAAACTTACAATATCACTTTTCTTATTACGAACCAGTAAAATTGTGCCCAGGCTCAGTGTTCTCATCTTTTTTGCTAATTTCAGTATCAAAATGTTCTTACTGTACTTTGTTCATATTTTATATTTTATCAATAAAGATAGAAAATTATTATTGTATAGCAATATATTTATTGTACTATATTAAAGAAAGTATTACATAGTCACACCTACTCTACATAAGGTACAAATAAGACAAAAATAATTTTTTGTTGGTTTTAAGAAAATGCATCTGAAATTTTACCTCAGCCTTAATTTTTTTTCAAATAAAAAAAAAAATAAATAAAATGTGTTAATTATTAAAAATAAAAAGTGTACTACTGATAACTATGTAAACATCTTCATCAAATAGGCCTAAACATTTAAACAAATTTAGGGGTTTCTGTAATAACCCTAAATTTCAATGCAGTGCATTTACTATTAAAACAAAACATTAATTTATGATTCCTCTCTGATAAAGAAAATCATAAAATCCATGACATTAAATCAAGATGTTAAAGGTAAATACATTATACTCACAGATTATACACTTTGTAGTGGTCTTTATGATTTCCATCTAAAAATCTGAAATTAATACAAAACAGAATGTTAAAGACATATAAATATAAGATGCTATGTACAGTATTGATTTTTTTACTGGATTCAGAGCCTTGGATAGACTGCAGGAATGTTGGAATAATAAGAAATGAATATAGGAAAGGAATGTTGATGAAAGAGAAATGGGAAAAAAGAAACTATATTAAAAAGGAGAACCAGGAATATAAAAGAAGAATAAAGCAGCTAGGAAAATGGGGAAAAAACATTTTTATAGCCTTTCAAGAAAATGTTTTTCTTAGTATTGTACTCTACATAATACAGAATACCCAAAGTTTGAAGATATTCCCTCATTGTAAGTTGAGAGACCTGTTCTGAGAGAGGCTAGGGAATAAGATGAGGAGGGAAATACAGTAATTTACTCAGTTAAGAAAGATGTAGAGTAGAGATAGACTGGTTAGCAAAGTACTGTATTCGACAGTCAAAAAACAAATCACATTTACTTTACTACAGCATCCATATCATTCCGGTAGACGCTTTCCAATCGTTCGGCCGGGAAACCCATTGCTATTATGTTAGGACAAATGTCTGGAATCGTGGTTAAGGATACACACGGAATGATAGAAATCAGGTCAACTTTGCTTCCTGAGTGACAGAACTAGGTTTTCAGAGGAAGAACTGTACATTGCTAACTACTGTATCAAGTTTCATTATATCACAGATCCTATAGGATCTAGGCCTATGATTATATAGTAAATAGTAAATTCAAAATTTTCATGAGTTGTGTTGAAAATTATATATTATTTTTTGTAGTTGTGCCATACAGTAATTATGATGATGCTTACTGTAGGAATACAATGTTATGAATATGAGAAACAAAATCATGATTTTTGTAGAAACTAGGGCCCTAGAATTAAAAGGCAAATAAGTAACTGTCAAACC